CTGAGCAATTTACATATTCATAATGAATTGGTATTTAACATCCAGATTCTAGCTGCCCCTAGAAACCAACCAGGTCAGGGTTCTAAGGCACTCTACAGATATCATAACCAAAGTGCTTAAGATACTGACTTATCTGGGTGGCTAAGATGAGGATGATCTAAATTTGCAGCCTTCTAAATTTGCTAGTTGCTTCTGAATGAATGTATGGTGTTCCCATTTGGCACTGTCCCCATAACTTAAGCTCTATGAGATGCAACGTGGTCAAATGGTTAGGAACATAGGACTGTGAGTCAGGACTCCTGGGTTTTATGCCTCAATCTGGCAGTGACTCACTGTGAGCTGATCCCATTCCCCATGGAAATCAATGGTTAAGCACATGCTATTCCCATTTTCAGTGGAAGCATGATCAAGTCCTATATGATTGCACGTCTTATGTCACTTTCTGTTTCAGTCTCCCTATCTGTAAAAAGAACATAAAATCATACCCATCATTATTGTTTAGGTAATACTTTAAGATCCTTACACTATACCTCCATGTATGAGAAAAACACGGTAGTAAAGCTTTATAAAGAGAATAAACTACAGATTTTGAGCCAGATCTATCAAAACAACAGCATCAAGAAAGATAGGAACTTCCCATACGCAAGCTGTTCATATTAACTGGGCCAAATGTACCTGGAACTTCTAGCAAGAAGCCCACCTCATCCTGGTTTACTGGATGTGGGTGGTATAAGAGCGATACCTATTAAGGATCTCATAGAAATAGCCACTTTTTAGTCCAGAAAAGATACCTCAAACCAGTTTGCAAGTGTTTTATATATTTATAGGCTTTATTACTTTTCCTGCAAGTTCACTTAATGTCAAAGGCACTTCACCTTTTACCATAGGGGGAAACAATAACTACTTTTAGGCACTGCAATGAGACAAGTAAATGACAGAAGTGCAAATTCTAAAAGCTGAGCCAGTTCTCAACATGAGTCTTTCTATTGAGTCCAATAGCAGGTCAGGGTGGTGTGATATAAAGACTTTTACTGACCTTTTTTAGGAATAATCTGTATAATTTACATGCTGGTTTATCAAACATGGGTAACTCATGCTAATAAAGTTTATATCACATTCTACCTTCAAGTATAGACAGGAATATAATATACCCTCTAATGATATATTTACTTAATCCAGTACATATACTGTCTATTAGAGATCTTACAACCACAGCATCTCTAAAGTTTTAAGCATATTAACTGAACATTTGCACTCAGTTTGTTCACAACAGTTTTATAAAATATCCGGCTTTTTACAGCCACAAGGAACGCACACCTTGCTCAAAACTTACCAGATGTTTTTGCTAACATTACAGTCTAATCCTTTTCCTGCTGGCTGCTCTAGTAACTTTGCCAACAGAAGATAATAAAGACCCATTTTCTCCCCTGCAGAGCTTACCTTTGGCTGACTCAGCCTGAACAGCTGCATATTTCCTTCTCTTGCTTTGAAATTACTGTATCCCACTTAGGCTGAAGATTTCAGCTACTGAAAAACTACTGGTTTTGAAGAAGATGCCACAGGCAATAGATTAAGCAGAGGCAACTACAATCAGATAAAGTGACTTTAAAAAGCTGGTACTTCAAGCTGAGGGTTTCCTGACTGAAGTTTTGAAACCCGAAGAGAAAAGAAACCCCCATCAGTTCAATAACCCATATGTCAGGTGGCCACTAGGATCATTTCCTAAACTGTAAGATTATTTTTCCACTGAATTCTCAAACCAAGATGAAAAGGCCAGTTCTCAACTGACTAGTTAAAAGACAAGTGATGGCACACACTTTTTAGAGAAAGGGGTCTCCTTTAAATTTGTACCGCAGTTGGCTGACCTGTTCTACTTTGAACTGAGGATGGCGAGAACTATAATCTTGTTACCATGTTCAGCCAACCCAAACGTTAGATTTTCTCAACAGCAAACTGCATCAAACTAAGTATTAAATTTGAATGCAAGGAGACCTTTCCAATGTTGTAGTACTGTTTTAAATCAGTTTAAGATCTTGTTTTATGGGTTCATCATTAAACAATGCATTTACACTCATTCCTATAACACACGAGTGAGGCAAATAAAAAAAAATTAGTTGCCTACCAGCCGTAGCTTAAAGAATTCTGTTTTATTCAGTGTTCCTCTGTATTTGATCTCTATCCTTAGCATGTCTCACCAACAGCACAGGAAAAAGAGTGTTGCAATAAAACTACAGAATCAAGATGAAAATGTCCACTCAACACAACAACCTGTTCTCGGCTACTATAAGCCAAGCCTTCTTCCCTCTGTAATTCCCACCTTTTAAAAACTACATCTGCACTTTAGAGACCCAGTCTACTAACCCTTACTAACACCACAGAAATGGGTTTAATCTATATGTGTGATTAATCCACTTACAAAATTCAGAAGCAGCAGTGGAGTGTGAAGCATCAAAAAAACACCCTTGGACAAAACCAATCTTTGCAAGTTCCTATGATTGGGCAAATGTTTTAGCTCTCAAATATACAAACTGAGCTAAAACGTAAACTGAGCTACTGTCTTTTTTGTTACTAGAGATAGTGAAAACCTGGAAAAGAAACATTATTAATATCTTGACAGATCTATCAGTTCTCATTAAAAATGAAACAATATTATGGATAGTGAGCGTGAGCAAGTCTCTCAATTATAGAACAGAGTAGGCTCCTACAATCCCCGAGGACCTTATGGAGAACTGTATGAAAATCTACATTTTCTGACATTGCCAATAAATTTTAGGTACCTCTATTTTAGTGTGCTTGACTGGTTAAAGAGCCTGGATATCAGAACATCCACTGCTGAACATCAGAGATTTCAGACAGAATTGTAAGCACTCTAAAAATCAAAGTGTATGTGTCAAAACAAGGTACCCAGCTTTTGTGGCCTCTGTTCGGAATTTTTACCCAAACCTTCATTGACAAAGAGTAGTTCACACTGATTATAAGCAAATCCTCATCAAATGGTATCACTAACAGTTCTGAAGAAGATGCTATACAAACCTTCTAGATGCAGAGCTATAGCTGCAAGATATACCCTTAAGAAGGGTGTAAACTGAATATACATGAGAATGTGTTCTTTTTTTCTTGGTTGTGCTTTTCAGTAGTTTCTAATATTCTTTTCAGCCTATGCCAAGGCACTGTGACTCTGGTAGTTATACCATTTTGCTCACTTTATATGGCTCTATGACAAGAGGAACATTCTCCAAGCTCTGATCTGGACATCCAGTAGGCTTTCAGGGTTCAGAAAGGGTTCCAAAGTATGTTCTGGACTGATGGGGCATGCATCATGTATGACCACCAGTGAACATCTATGAACATCACAAGATTACACATCACCAGATTACAAAAGTATGACCTTCATTTTTCCTATTGGATTCACTGCATTGTCCACAATGGCTACTGCACTCAGATCAAGGACTGAAGGACTTTTATATACAATGCATACTATATTGCAGATGTTATATGCCAGACAGCCACAATGCACAAAAGCAGTCAATCAAATTTAACTTCTTTAACAAAGACACTTCTGGGATAGATCAGTTGCAAACAAAAGAATGGCCTTGATGTTGGGGTTCTCACCTGACAAATGCCATGAAAAACCTAAGTGAACATAAGGCAAGATTACACGAAACTATGAATTCATTTACAGTGGCAAATCCCTGTGCTCTTCCAGTCTGTGAAAACATCTCCACCAGTCACAGCAGTACCGGCCACAACGCATCATGCATCGCAACCTTCTAAGAAGTTTCTACAAAAGATTCACATCCTCTTTCAGGTGGAGCATTTTAAAAACTGCAGCCGTGATGTCATTCCATTGCAGAAGCGCACCGAGAAGTTAAATTATGTGGCATGATCCCTTTGGGGGTGGGGTTGGAGGGCAATAAAACTGATCTTACTGTTTATTAAAAGCAATACTTGAAATCTGTTCTGGGTCACGTGTTAAGTGTCTGTCCCTCGTAACCATGTAGCCAGGAAGCATTGCCAACAAGCCTAAGACCTTAACAGAGTGCTCTATGAGCAGTCAGGGCCTCTCCCCACCAAGGCACCCAGGAGTACAATGCAAACTGCTGTCTTCAGGTGCAGAAGAAGCAAACTTGCAGTTCTCTGGCTCTGACCACTTCCTAGTTTAATGGCAGGAATATCTGGAACAGCCTTGCAACAAAATGTGTTGATGCTTCCCCAGGCCCAGCCCACACCTAGGGGCTCTACTGGGTCCATCAGCCACACGCACAGCCACAAGCCCTCCTTGGAAGCCCTCTGGGCGGTGATGCCAGGTGTATGGTAATTACTATACTTGTATAATAACTGTACGATGTACAATCAATAATAGTATAAGTACTCAAAACATATAATTTTTGAGGCAGCTAATTGATGCAACATCTTTAAAACACAAGTCATACTCTGGGAGTTTTAACTGACTTTGGGGCTTGCTATCAGCACTTTCTTATGCTTGTTTGCCTCAACATAAAGAAATGCTTCCACTTTACTAACCCAGTTTTCACACACTCACTGGACAGAGTGAGCTAGACTAGAGTGAGCAATATGAAGTAAAGGAGAAGACTTGCATACTTATTTGCATATAGTTGTTCAGCAAATACGATCATTGTGAACTTGCAGTACGATCATTTCATATTTAAGAAACACTGCTTCTGGGCCGCACGTGCGGCGGCCCCGGGCCGAGCAGGGGTTACAAGGGGCCACCCGCTGCCCGGGCTGGGGACGAGACTGAAGGGCAGGGGCCAGCGCCTCTCCTCGCGGGGCGGACGAAGAGGAGAGCGGCCACTAGACCCCCACAACCTACCCGGCCCTCGGGGCCACAGTCTGCCCCCTGCTTAGGGCGGCTCCCTGGCCGCAGACCAGGTCCTGTACCACTTCACTCAATTCCGTCCCAGGCTCCTACTCCTACTCCCGCTCCCTGATTGGTCAACGTGCCGAGAGGGGCGTGGCTAGTGTGGAATGCTGAGTCTCAGCGTTCCAGAACCGGACGGTCCTGCTCGGCCCGGGACGCGCTGATTGGCTGAGCCGCGGCCCCCCCCGCCTTCTCCGGGGGAGAGAATGGAATGTTGCGGCGTCTGAGTTCCAGCGCGGGGCGGCGGCGGCTGCAGCCCCGGGCCGTCTCGGAGCCCCGGGCGGGGAGCGGCCGAAGCGAGGATCCGGGGACGAGCACCAGGTAAAGCTGCTGCGCCCGCCTTGGGCCCGCGCCGAGGGTCGGGTCCTTCTCTGCACGAGGCGGCTCTCAGTTGCCGTCGGGCTCCCCCGGGCGCGGGGCACAAGCGGCAGCCGGCGCTGGGTCCTTGCAGCCGCGGGACCCACAAGGCAGTGGGTTGAGATCAGTGCGCCCGGCCTGCGAGCGAGCGCGAGCTCAGGAGGCCTCCCCGGTTCGCGCCGTCCTTTCGCTTGAGCCCTGTTAGAGCGGCCTGAGCTGAGCCGCGGGTTTGGACGTCTGGCCTTCGCCACAAGCCGTCAAGTGCTGAGCCCGCGTGAGCGGGCAAGGCGGGAGGGTGCTGGATTCTAAACACCAGCCCTGGACCACAGGCCCGGGAGGCAAGGTGAGCCGTCTGCAGCCAGGAGCAAACTCCGCTTGTACTGGGCTTTCCACCTCTGCTCCACCTGTCTTATCTAGACTGGAAGGTCTTCGTGGGGGCGGCCTCCCTCCCCTTGCTCTGTTACGCTAAGCCCGCGCTGAACAGTTGCAGCACAACTTCTGTAACTCCCACGTCGTTTGATGGCGGCAGTTCTCACCCTTTTCAAATGCACATAAGCAGCAATCTGCCCATTTTGCAGAAGTCTAGTATTTGTGATGCACTTTAAGAGCCTTGGTTACCATCAGCCACGTGTATGCAAAGAAGAAGGTGAATCTCTCCGTACCCAAGTGCGTTTCAGTATGAGTTGCCAATCTCGAAGCTTTTTGCCATCTAAGGAATAGCACTCATGTCGAGTGCGTTTTATGTGGTAAACTCTGTGCGTTTCAGAACACAAATATTAGGAGAACAAAGTCTCTAAACTCAGGAAATCGGCATCAGAACTCAGCACATCTCTTGTGACGGGCTTTGGTGTGACAGTCAGGAACCTGTTTCATTGCAGCGCTCTTTTTCTTTCAAAACTAGCTATGCACCTAATTTGCCTGCACCATCCCTGGAATTACATGTGCAAATTGTATTTGCTCACACAGCTGCATTTTGTTCTGTGTGGTTTTTATGAGCAACTAATTTGTGCCTACAATCACACATTCACTTTTGTACAGGCAGTTACATGCATATACATCTCTTAAAGAACATGCACCTTTAGCAGCCCAGGACTTAGTACCATACAAGGGCAGTTGTTTAGTACCAAGCTGAAACAAAAGCATGCCTGGGAGCAGCCTTCGTTTAATGCTCAGCTGCTCTTTCATACTTAAGCCCAGTGGGGATTTACAGACTACACCTTCCTCTGCCTTTCTGCCAGCAAGACCCACTCAAGAGAGCTGGGACATCTAACATGCAGTGGGTTGGCTCCCACAAATTAGGTGCTCCCACACTCAGCGTTGTGAGTCTCCTTTTTAGATCTAACTTTCGGGGTACCCCAGCTGGGAAAACATACCCCAAGCCAACAAGCCCACATGAAAAAGTATGTGAGCTGCAGCATCCAAGGAAATGTTCCCCTAGGACTTATTCCACAGCACTTTAAAGGAACAGTTGCACACTGCGCTTAATTGACATATGCCAAGGAACCATCTCTTTAATATTTAAAATACAGTTGATTAAATACTGCAGTTCTTCAGTAAATGTCATCACTATTCATGAAATATGTTAACTGCATAATGCTGAACTAGAGCTAACTGAATACTACAATAGAAGAGCCATTTATCATGGTCTAGGGAAATTAAACTACTCTTCAGCTACACTTACTATACTCATCTTGCTTTTGTTGTGCCTCTTTCTTTTACTTCCTCTCTGTGAATATACTCCTTGCTACTTTTCCCATCAGTTCTGCGGGTTGTTTAAGGTCTAGATCTGTAGGGAGAACATTTTTACTCTTAATGGCTGCTTGGAGTATTTGAAGTGTTCCGAAACCAGTTCCCAAAGGACAGGCAGCCCCATTATGCAGTTGGACTCTCCCTGTGTTTGTGTGTGCACATGCTCTGCAGTTCACTGATCAATCTTAGGAGGCAGATAGTGTCATATATTTATTTATTAACTACTACAAATTCTCTGAAACACACTTTGGTATAAAACAGAATTAAAATAATATTCCCCCCCAATTAATTGGATGGATCAGAATTTATGTTTTTATATATTTTTTAATTTACTTATTGCTTTGTAATTTCTAATGTACGGGTTCTCACTGCAGTGGTGGGGCGGGGAATGTTAATTCACAGAAGCCTGCTTTGTTTAGCAGTAAGAAAATCTCTAAACTCATGCAACACCTTCCGTCCATACAGAAAACTAAATAGCGTTTTAAATTAATCACGTTACCAGAGTAAAATTGGTTTTGTCCCTAAGCAACCTACACATCATCCGTAAACCAAGTGTAATTTATGGTTCATCCAAGAAGTTTATGATGTGGTTACACTCCCTTCACTGAGCCTTTTACTCCTTAGGGAATAAGGAGAGAATAAATTTGTTGTCTTTCTGACCTGTTTGATTAGAGATTCATCTTTCAAACTGAGGTACCCAGCAAATTTCTAGAGGGTATATAAGAGGAAGGAATGGAGAGGCAGAAGGATAGAGAGGGGAACTATAAAAGGAGGGAAAGGTATTAAAAACTACTCCACGATATCCCAAGGTTGTTGGAAAGA